TTTTTACATTTGAAATAAGCCTTAATAGTGCTCATTACTCATTAGCTTCCAGGTGTGGGAGAACCATTGTAGCTTAGTTATTTGCATTGAAAATGACCAAACATCAGGGACACTGGTAGCGTCTTTTGCTGGCTGTAGAGTCCCGGGCAGCCCCAGATAGCCCTGGGGAGTGTCGTGGACTCAAACTGCTTCCAGGCACAGGGAGCAAGAGCCCATGAGACTGTTCCTCCAGGTCAGGTCTGGATTTGGGCTCTCGCAGTGGCATCCCGCTCCCCAGGCGGGGGGCGGGGGGGGAGGGGACGGGGGGGGGGGGGGGGGGGGGGGGGGGGGGGGGGGCAGCTGGGGGGGGGGGGGGGGGGGGGGGGGGGGGGGGGGGGGGGGGGGGGGGGGGGGGGGGGGGGGGGGGGGGGGGGGGGGGGGACAGCCAGCTGCCACTGCCTGGAAAGTCCTTGCTGTGCCATGACCAGGTCGGGCACGTGCTAATACCCTTTTGCTGCAACTTTTTTCCTGATAATCCTCTTCTTCTGAACTTTCTTTTTCTTTCTGACTAGAGTTCCTGGGCTTTTATCAACACATGCCCTAACTATTCTTGGTTCCACTGGGGTGTCTCCTTCCCTTATCAATTTACCTAACACCCTTTCCATATTTTCATCACAAAGACAATACAATACACTGAGACAAATCAAGACAAAAACATACTGTATCAATCTTCTCCATTTTCTCAAAATTTTTCCTCTCGCCCTATCTGCCTAGCGACGAGCAGATTTGCTCCTGTCCTATCTGTGGATGGGCAGCTTTTGTTTTCGTCACTTACCCCCGAGTGTCCCAGGGCTCCCCGTATGGGCCACCATCTGCCACAGTCTGGCTGCAGCAAAATAATGGGGGGGGGTGATGAGCAACTTGTGTACAAGTTTTGACAATATTAATTTTGCCTATCCATGAACATGGGAGGTCTTTCCATCTTTTAAGATCTTCTTCAATTTATTTCTTTAGCATTTATAGTTTTCATCATAGAGCTCTTTCACTCCTTGGTTAGATTTATTTCCAAGTATTTTGGGGTTTTGTGGTTTTTGTGAATGGGAGCGTTTTCCTGATTTCTTTCGTGGCAGATTCATTATTGGAGCTAGCAAAGTTATTGACTTTTATATATTGACCTTTTTACAGTTACTTTACTGAATTCATTTTTCAGCTCCAGAAGTCTTCTGGTGGAGGTTTTGTGGTCTTCTAAATATAGGATCATGAACAAATTGGTTCTATCCCTGATGACCCATTTTTACATTGGGGCCAGAAATCTAATTAAATTTATGAGTTTGCTAGGCTAACAAAAAGCTATCTTGCCACCACTGGATTTTAAAATATTTTTTAGTTGTAGATGGACACACAAAACCTTTATTTTATTTATTTATTTATTTATTTATTTTTATGTGGTGCCATGGATCAAATCCAGTGCCTAACACAAGTGAGGCAAGTGCTCTCCCACTGAGTTACAGCCCCAACTCTGCTACCAGTTTTTGTTTGTTTGTTTTTTGTTTGTGTGTGTGTGTTTGTGTGTGTGTGTGTATGTGTGTCTTATTGAAGATTGAACCCAGGGCCTTGCACATGCTAGTCAAGCACTCTACCACTGACCTCCATCCCCAGTTCTTTTGACTTTTGTCTTGAGAAAGGGTCTCATAAGTTTTGCAAGCTGGCCTCAAACTCACAGTCCTCCTGCCTCAGTCTTCCAAGTAGGACTGTCACTAGTTTAAATAAATGAATACTCTAATACTCTTGCAACACATTCATTTAGTGAAAGCTAAATAAAAGCTGAATGTAAGAGAAGCCAAAGGTTTCATTCTCAGAAACAGAAATATATGAAATTCACCCATTTTAAACTTGTCACTTCACCTCTCCGGCCCCAGATTTATTTGGTGTCACCACAAACAGGTTTATCTGGTGTCCCCAAAAAAACAGAGGCTGTTTCCAGAGAGTAAATGTATGCTCTTTTGTCATAGTAGAAGAGTAAGAGTCATTGTTGTAGAGGTGGTGGAGGGTATGGGGATTCAAGTGCTACTTATAAAGTCCTTTAAGTAGTTCTCCTGTTTTAAGGCCAGATACCTGTCCAAGAATCCTCATCTCCCAGTATTCAAAAGTAAAGTCTGTTGTCTACAGTTCCTGGGTCAAGCACAACAGTAGACCAGGATGGCTTCTTCCTGGATTCCCCTTCTGTAAGCTTTGGTTTCACATTTCTCAGCTCTTTGAAGTCTGTTATGTTTATATTTTTTTTCTTCAACTTTTCAAGTATTTCTGGCATTCCATCTCCTATATTCTTCTTTTCCTTTGTCTTTGTGATTATGGAATTTGTCTCTTTAAATGTCCTCATGTTGGAGTTTTAGAGAGACAGAAGTAACACATGTTCAATCTTTTATACTTCACAAAAAATTTGGTCTTTTCTGTATATTATTTGAACTTATTTGAAGTTGTTTTATCCTATGTTGTATTAGTAGTTATTCAATCAACTAATTAATAAGACATAGAGATGAGCCTCTGGAAAAAAAACACTAAAAAGATAGGAGGGAAGCCTAAAAATGGATATTGGTGAAAAAGCAAAGATTTATGTACAATGTTCTTTCAATATCAATGACAGTGTCAGTAATCTGCTAAAAGTCATTCTTCTGCAGACTCTGAGACAGAAAACAATGAATGCCACCTACTCACTCTCATTTATTGTGCTCAAGAAGCCTTCCCACTAGCAAAATGCATTCTTAATGAGTTAATAAACTGATATACATTAAGTACCTACAATAGATGAGACAAAAGAAAATCCCCAATATTTGCAAAGACACCAAGTTACCTGCAATTAAATCCAAAGATTCTTCTTCTTTGTCATTGTTCCTCTTTCATATTCCTGGCCATCATCTCCCACTCCATTCAGCTACTCCTCTCCTTCTGTGGGAGAAATGATGCAAAGATATTGGGGAAGTTGGAATTTGTGGGAGTCCATCCTTGCACGTGACTGAGTTTCCTCCCCAGCTGGGTATGAAGCGCTCAGTCGCAGCAATATGGCAGAGCTTTCCTCACCCTTCTTGGGTTCAAGAATGTGTCCATGTGGAGGTGTGTCTTACCACTGCCCCAAAGATCCAATCTAACCTTGCCACACTGCCCCCCTTGACCTTCATTGGACGGGATTTTCCCCAGAATTTTTGGTTCCCCAATAAAAGTCTACTCCCTAGTGTGCTTGCTCTCTCTTGCTACCTTTTCTGTAAATCCTCGGTGCCCCTCTAGGAAGAGAGCTCCAGAAGCAATCCTGAGGCTGGTTTAAAGGTAAATCTGTGTGTCTGTGTCTTTAATTTAAACTCCCAGATAATTTTCCCATGTGATGGAACCATTCTAGTCTGCACACAGCCGAGTCTGACTCTTGGACAGAGGCTTTCTCCAGGTGGAAGGAGGTGGTTTCTTGATCATATGTAGCTTCAAAATTTTTGTTGCTGACCTTATCATCGGCCTTCACAGCTTTCAGGAGGAGCTGTGGACCTTCTCCAGGGTATTGAACATACCAGAATAGGGCTGGGTACTGTGAGGTTTCATAGGTACAGTTCACAGTCAGGGAAGTCCCTTCAGAGAGGGTCATTTGTCCTTCTGTCTGGATCACCGAGTCTCTTTTGCTTCCTCCTAAGAAGAAAATTAATAACAAATTAGTGCAGGTTACCTTAGTCATGATCTCCTTTTAGAGAAAGTTATTCATCAGCGTGGTAGAACCAAAGGCTCTAAGAACTTTGTGCCACTTTCCTTACCAAACATTAAGAGGAGTACAATCACCAGTCCTGGGACACAGTTCATTTTCACAACCTCTTTAGTCCTTGGATCCTGAATTCACAGTGTAAGGAAAGGTCTGGGTCACAGTGAGAGGATGCCTGTGAGCTCAGAAGTAAAACAGGAAGAGAGATGAGATAGAGATAGAGATAGAGAGAGGGTGTGTGTGTGTGTGTGTGTGTGTGTGTGTGAGAGAGAGAGAGAGAGAGAGAGAGAGAGAGAGAGAGAGAGAGAGAGAGAGAGAGAATGAGTTAGGAGATGCACCCCCTTGTGGGCAAAGTGGGAAACTCGGTGGATTGTTGACCTGCTCTCTCTATTCAGTACTGTAGCTCTGCTCTGGCTTCTTTTCTAATACACCTGTTAGCTGTTGGATGATCCATCATAATTCTAAAGAATAGTTGGTATTTTTCATGAGTTCATTTTTACCAGGAACATCAGATTCCTTGGAAACTCCATGCCATGTCTTTTCTAAGAAGAATTTAATTTTACCTTCCCTTATTCAGTCACTATGGCAACTGTATGATCCACTGAAAAATCATCTAAGCAAGTTATAGCATAACATCAGAGGAATGCCAACATGTTTAGTCATCAATAGATGACTTTAGATGGCAGGGACTAGACCCACACTCTTCCCACACTTGGAACAATGTCAGGAACTTAGCAGGTGGTTAACTAATATTTTGTAAGTGTGAAAATGAAATTTGTTTGGTTGAGGAAATGTCACTTTTTGAATATCATATTGTTTCATATTTATGACATCAACTATAAGAGACACAATTTAGCAAAAGTCTTTCAAAGAAAATATTTTTTATTAGATACATACCAATTAAAATTGAAAAACTTCTGTAGAGTACTTGCCTATTGTGCACAGGCCCTGAGTTTGATCTCCAGCACCACAAAAAGGAAAAAAAAATGAAGACTATGGAATTATTAGTATTGAATAAATGCAATAAGGAATAAAAGATTTGCAACCAGTTTCTTCTGGCACCAGTTTCTTCTGCCCTAGGATTTTAATGATGCCTAAATAATGTGATTGAACTATGCATATCATGCAAATTCTTTTTTGTGTGTCTTCAAAACTGTTATTATTCTCATGCTAAATTTCCATGGAAATTTGCCTTAAGTGTGCTCTCTATATGTATCCATTTCCCAACATTATTAACCCATAGAAGTTAATAAAAATCATAATCATTTTAGAATAGTATACTCACAGAATGTGAATTTTTCTCTAGAAACAAAAAAATGAGCTCAAATTCAGCTTTAAGGATTATAGACATGTTTGCTATTGTGGAGTATCATCTCATAGCAGGATGACATGTATGAGTTACATAATGATTAAATTTAAAATACATATTTGTAGATCTATCCACTGATATATAAAACAAGATCTTCAGGATTAGAAAAACAATCTCTTCAGGTTGTGTTTATTGCACCCATAGTGACACAGGTTTACACAATAACCTTTGGGAACACTGACCAAGGCAGACAGTCGAGGTCTCAGTGAGGCACTGCTGGGGTCAGCACTGAAGGAGCCTTCAATCCTCACAGGGCTTTAAAACCACTCTCCTTCATGGTAGAACTGAAGTGACAGTAGCAAAAGCAAAACCCACTTCCTTAAGTTGTTTTTGCCCATTTAAATTAAAACAAGAAGCCTGAATGATCAAGGGACAAACGGGGAGAGAAGGCAGGATGACTTTTTTTCTGCCAAGCCCTGCCAGTGTTTATCCTTAGACTTGGAAGCCGTCTTTAATGTGACTTCTGTGAACTCCGACTCTCCATGAATTTGGAGAAGGTATCTACATGGTCCCATGTAAGGTGTAAACACCTCCGGGCTCCAGTCTGGGGTACAAAATTAGGTCTGGATGTTTTTCGGGTTCATAATCACTCCTCCCTCTTCTTGTTGCTCCCCTGTGGTAGAGAAAGCAGTGTCTTTCTCCTTTCCTGGTGTTTTAGGCTCATGTGTCTAACCCAGTGTGCCTGAACTCTAAGCACAAATGGAGTGAGCAGCGGGTTGGGATTGGGGCTCAGCAGTAGAGATCCTCTAGCACTGGAAAGACCCAGGTTCAATTCTCAGCACCACGTAAAAATAAAGGCATTGTGTTCTATCTAACTACACCTAAAAATAAATATTAAAAAAATAGAGTGAGCAGCTTCCCTTTCTGTAATTTCCTTTAATTTTTTTTGTAGGGGGGATTGAATTCAGGGGCATTCGACTACTGAGCCACATCCCCAGCACCATTTTGTATTTTAAAGACAAGGTCTCACCGAGGTCCTTAGCATTTTGCCTTTTGCTGAGGCTAATTTTGAACTTCCAATCCTCCTATCTCAGACTCTTGAGCTACTGCGATTAGAGAAGTGCACCACTGTGTCTGGCTCCTTTACTTTTCAACTTAACCTTGATCCTTGAGTTATAGTAACCCTCTGTTGCCCCAGAAGAACCTAATGACACAGCATGAGTTTATACAATGGTGAGTGTTACTGAGGAATTGTAGCAGAGGTTTCAGTTGAAATGGGTAGAACTTAGAGATCAATGAAAAAATTGCATAAGCTAATTCACAGCTAACAATAGATTCATTCAGACAGCCTGACTTCCAGAGTGCGGAATCTCTGCTTCAGGGACTCAGTTTTATCCAGCTGTGTTAGTCAAGAGTTGGCCAGGAAAACCAATCAATTACATCCTTACTTGTACGAAATGAAATATTCTTGAAAATTAGAGAAACTAGCAGAATTATGTTTTATAATTGATCTCTGTAATAAGTAGACATTAGTTGACTGCAGACTATAACTCTTCTGTGTTATATAAATTCCTCTTTGGAAACTTTAGAGTTTTTCAGAAAATTGGTTCTGAACATGAGAAGAAAAACCATATCCTAAAGGTACAAATTAAGCTACTGACAGCAAATTGAGCTAATTTCTGTTATTTATTCATGAGAGTTCTAAGAACTTTATTAAAGTTCTAGAAACATTAAGACCTCTCTAGGTGCCCTAAAGATGCACCCTATGTATATCACAAATGGCTCAATAAATGCTACTGAATGAGTTTTCAGTAAAGGACATACAAACAAAAAAAATGTTTTTTCATTGAGGTAAAGAGTGACAATCTCCTAGTACTACCTTGTGACTATCATTTCTAAGTTAATGAACTTTTTAAACTTTCTGGATTCCTTTCCTTCTATTCCTAATTTTTGCCTTCTGTCCCTAGTTTTTCTCATCCAAATTTTCCATTTGCAATAACAATGATCTTATTGCTTGAAGCTAAGACCCAACCACTTTGTCCACTCACATATTCATAATTATTCCTGAATAAATATCACTGAATATAATAAAACAAAAAACTAAAGAATCTGAATTAGGAGAGCATAATATGCATAAAGTTAATTTTTTTATATAGTGGCTCTTGTTTTTCTAAACTGAGTTATTTTATTATCAACTTTACTTTTCAACTCAACCTTATTCTTTGTATTGCAGAAAACTCCTATTGCTATATATGTAGATAACTATATTTCCCATAATCCCCTGCTTCTTATGGTTCTGAGTACAAAAGTGAACTTACACAATATTTGGGAGACAGACAGGAAGCAGCAGCCATTGTCTTCTGAACATCATCCTTGGTCAGACATGGGGAAAGCACGGGGTCCTCACTATTCTATTTTGTTCTCACTCTTCCCTGATGGCACCTAACAACAAATAACAACTCCATAGCACATAAATTACCATCATCACAATGCTTCCCAAATGCTAAGGGATTACCTAAACTACTGCAACAACACCTGAATCCCACACAATTACACAAAGAATTAGTGATCCTGATGCTGCAATCTTTGGGAATTATCACCACCCCAAATACCCACAATAAAAATAACCCTGTGGCCATATGGTCATGAATAATTTTATTCCAGAATCTAATTTGAACTGTTTTCCTCCTGGGAACACTTCTGTACCAGGTGTGTCAGGCATATGCTAAAAGCCTATTGTTTGCAAAGCTTTGAGACATGCTCAAAAAAAGCATGGACTTCACAGGCTCTAAAACCACCTCTTCCAATTACAAATCATATGACTTTGGACAAATTGTCAAAACACCTCAGAGGCTCAGATTAGAGTTAATAATGTTTGCCTCATTGAATAAATATTAATATTTCATGACATACAATATGCATCACAATTTTTTAAAGGCTTACTGTTTATCAGGTTTAGTAATATGTGCTGAGAATCATGCAATTACATTCTAAGAAAGGGAAAAAAACAGTGTCTGAGCACAATGCTCTTAAGTGACAAGTATTGAAGCTTTTGAAAATTCCCATTTTATTATTTCTATTTTCTCAAATAGGAAGCCAATGAATAGGTGGAAGTGTAGATGTGAGTATATTTATTGTAAGTTTGAGGTTTAGTGCACAAAGAGATTGATACCTAAATAAAGGGAAAAATATATACCATTGAAAAATCAAAAGAATACTTGTAAATTATATTTAGATATATTAGATAAAACAAAGTAGGCTTTCAGAAGAGAATTACTAGAGTTTTTGGCTAGGCCAAAATGCCCAAATATTTGTTCTACAACTTTTCTAGATGTCACTGAGATGACATTCTTAAGTGATATTAATATTTAAATTAATAGTTTGAGTAAAGCAGATTACTCTTTATGGTGGGGGTGAACCCCACTTATCAGTTGAAGGTCTTAAGAGGAAATTTGCCTCCAGATGGTCTTCAAACCTGAACTGCAAAATCAGTTTTCTGGGTTTCCAGCCTAACTGCTTGCCTGAAGAGGTTGGAATTGTCATTCTCTACAAATGCATAAACTAATTCCTGAAAATAAATTGATACATAGATAGAACAGAAAAACATCTTTATAGACAATATTGATAAAGATATTATGATCTTAAGTTTGCATACATGAAAATAACATATATGCATTCTTTGTAGCTTTTATATGCTTTTATGAGAATTTGTTATATTTTGCAGTATTTAAAAAAATTTGAACCCCATGTTTGTAAAAAAAAGTACTATAAAAGGCTGATTAGTTTTATTGATGGAGACAAGATACCGCAATGCGAGAAAGAACCCCTGAAGGAGCCAACTGATCACAAGTGATTGCTTAAGTCCCCAGAGATAACACATCATAATAGGGACACGTTGGCTGAAACATTAAATGAATGTTTCTAGGAAAACTTTCTCAGCACAGGAGAGGATGTGGCCAGTTTGTGCCTTTCCTAGAACCAAAAAAAAAAAAAAAAAAAAAATCCATAAAAATTGAAAAGATGGGACATTAACAAGGAGAGAGTCCTATGAAACACTTTAAGCATCTCCCAGGGCTGGAAATATAGCTCAGTTGGTAGAGTGCTTGCCTTGAATGCATAGTCCCTGGGTTNTAATAATAATAATAAAAACTGTAAAGTTGGGACATTAACAAGGAGAGAATCCTATGAAACACTTTAAATATCTCCCAGGGCTGGGAATATAGCTCAGTTAGTAGAGTGCTTGCTTGAATGCATAAGGCCATGGGTTAAATCCCCAGCATCAAAAAGTAAGTAAATAAATAAATGTTTCCCAAGGATTTTATAAAATTTAATTCCTTGTACAGTTTCTGAGTATACGGTTTCTATTTTGTACATAAGTTGAAGCACTTTCCTGTCAGAAAGCAACAGCACTTTCAATGAACAAAAATCAATCTGATTTGGTGTTCCCTGCCTGTGACACTTCAATTCATATGAAGAATAATTTTCTGGGACAGTTTGCAAGGCTTTGCCCTCACTCAGGATCTCCATTTTTTTTTTAATATCACCTCACTATCCTCTGAAAATTTGGAAACAACAAATAGATTATTAAAACTGAAATTATTACTATATCAGGCATCTTCTTAGTGTATTTTAATTATATAGATTAATGTCTTTCATTTTGGCATATTCTTTTTTAATTTTTTTTACCTATTATATCAGTTATACATGACAGCAGAATGCTCCTCGATTCATTGTAATAAATGGAGCACAGATTTTTACTTCTCTGGTTGTACACAAAGTAGGGTCACACCATTCATGTAATAATACATATACCTAGGGTAGTGATGTCTGTCTCATTCCACCATCCTTTATACCTCCATGCTCCCTCCCCACTTCCTTTCCTTTGCCCAATCTAAATTTCCTCCACTCATCCCAGGTCCCCCCACTTTATGGATCAACATCCACATACCAGAGAAAACATTTTGCCTTTGCTTTGGGGGATTAGCATACTTTGCTTAGCATAATGCTGACCAACTTCACCCATATACCTGCAAATGTCATAATTTTATTCTCTTGTAATGATGAATAATATTTCATTGTGTATATATACCATAGTTGCTTTATCCATTCATCTATAGAAGGGCATTCAGGTTGATTCCACAGTTTGGCTATTGTGAATTGTGCTGCTACAAACATTGATGTGGCTGTGTCACTGTATTAGGTTATTTTTAAGTCCTTTGAGTATAGACTGAGGAGTGAGATAGCTGAGTTAAATTGTGGTTGCATTTAAAGTTTTTTTAAGGAATCTCCATACTACTTTCCATGTTGGTTGAACCAGTTTACAGTCCCATCAGCAATGTCTGAGTGTACCTTTTCCTCCACATACTCGCCAGCACTTATTGTTGCTTAAATTATAACTGCCACTCTGACTGAATCATTGTGGCATATTCTTATAAGCAAAAACCATGTGAATCATATCCACTTTCTATTAGTCTTTCTTACCCTCTTCTCCTCAGATTCTCCTTCTCTTCTCTAATTCATCTCTTTTTTGTCTATATCCCACATATGAAGGAAATTATGTAATACTTTCCTTTCTGAGCCTGGTATATCCCATTTAACATGATGATCTCTAGTTCCATCCATTTTCCTACAAATAATATGATTTCATTCTTCCCATATATCAATTGACAGCCACCTAAGCTGATTACATAACGTGGCTACTATGAATTGTAGTGCAATAAAGATGGATATGCAGGTATCTGAATGGTATGCTAATGGATATAATCAGGAGTGGTATAGCTGGATCTTATGGTAGTTCTAGTTTCTTGAGGAACCTCCATAGTGATCTCCATAGCAGCTGTACTAATCCACATTCCTACCAATAGCACAACAGTGTGTCCCTTTTCTTCACATCTTCACCAACATTACTGTGTTTATAATTTGGTATGTGGTGGGGCRGGAGTACCAGGGACTCAACTCAGGGATGCATAACCACATTCCTACCCTTTTCTTTAAAATTATTTTTTATATTTTTTTATTTTGAAATAGGGTCTCACTAAGTTGCTTAGAGCCTCTCTAATTTGCTAAGACTGGTTTTGAACTTGCAACCCTCCTACCTCTGCCTCCTGAGCCACTAGGATTTGTTTTTATAATCTTGATGATTGCCATCCCGACTAGGGTGAGATGGAATGTCAATGTAGTTTTGAATTCCATTTCCCTGATAGTTAAAGGTGTTTATATTTTTTCATATAATTATTGGCTATTATTACCTCTTCTTTTGAAAAGTGTCTGTCTATTCATTTGCCCATTTATTGCTATATGAGATACCCCTGAAGCCCCGTGGTCTATGAACCATGGTTACCCTTGGCTCTCCTGGGCCTGCAGTCTTCTCCCACACAAAGTCATATGTGTCTTGCTGTGAACTGACAGTTCCAAAACCATACATATTCCACACTGTCTTCAACTTAATTAACACGATAAATCCTTTCATCAACATGCCAACAGTTTGCCTTTTCTGGGGTCTCATTTAATCAGCCATCATTTGACCTAAAGCCTGATGGTATGGTAATCAGAAAACAATGCCAGAGAAATTCTGCCTCTGAATCTTATGGAAATGAACTCATTAGGAAATCTTTACTACCAGTTCAGTGGATAAAGTACAAGGATTTGAATCTCAGTTGCATTTAGCAACTAGAATGACATTATCTGTACTTAAATGACAAGAATTAAAATATAACTGACTTTAAAGATTTCAAGTAAACTTATTCAGAGGGTCTCTATAAGAAGACAGTCCACAGAAGATAAACACTGACCCAGGATCCTTGAAACACACATGCCCTGGCACAACAGCACATCAAAGACTATCAGAACAGAAATCTCTGTAAAAAACTATCAATAAATACACCATTAATCCAAATTCTTTCTGTAATCTACTAGTAAGAGTTTAATAAGGTAGTTAATAGATATATGTAAAAATTTTCTCATACACACCAGAAAGAATTATAAGGAAGCAATAAAAATAAATGTCTAGGAATAAATTTAATCATCTCAAAACAATAGAATTTTATCAAGAAAGAAAGACATAAATAAGTAGAAAGAAATAATATATTTCTTTAAGTTAATTTTGCTGTGTATATTCAAGATTTACAACAGGATATTATAGGATACACATAGGTAATGAAGTGGTTATATAGTAAAACAAATTAACAGATCTATCATCTTATATAATTTTTTGTACAGTTGACAATAGCTAAAAATCTATTTAGCACAGTATACTTTTATTAACTATAGTCCTTAGATTTTATATTAAATCTCCAAACGTGATGATTCTATCTATCTACTGCATTGTAACCTTTGACTAAATATCATCAACACTTATCAGGGTATAGAATAAGGAATTTCATATATTATATTTTACATATTTTCTATGTTTAACATGTAGTGTTTTCTAATCAGAAAAATAACAAATATAATTTTCTAAAGAGTCAGTAGCCCATATCTCACAAGGATTGTGATACTACAGGGATATTTATAGAAGAGGAGTCAAAATAGCAAATGTTAATTCATCTTTAAAACCTGGCTTGCAAAACAAAGCATCATTATTTCCCGGGAAGAATTCATTATGTGCAGCTTTAGTGTAGCTGAAGATGTGAGGGTGCCTGGGTATGAGAAGCCCAGAGTGGGCATACAGTTCTGTGCCTGACCTTGCCCTCTTCATCTCACATAACTTCACCTAGGCCTTCACTTTCACAATGCATATGTATATCAAAACATCACATTGTGTACTTTAAATATGTATAATAAAATAGAAAAAATAGGAATCCATCAAGTAACAATCAGCTAACAAAATGTTGTGACCCTCTTTAGGTCATCTTGAACCTACTGTATGTATGCTATACTTTGAATGCCTATATGCTAGTTTCCACTTGCAAAAAAACAATATGGAAAATGCAATAGTAGGAGGTCTTTGCCAAAAAGAAAGCAGATGGGGCTCAGCCCAGTGGCAAGTTTGAGTACAGCTTCAGGTGTCTGGGAAGCATCTCGCATCATCTGCACAGAAGTAGACAGCTGAGTCTCCAGGTTGGGCAGCTGTGATGTTCAGGGAGAAGTGTTTGGCTTTCTTATCCAACACAACAATGAATCTTTGGATTTGATTTATCTCCTTATTTGAACGAATGTCTATAATATGCTGGGGACCTTTTCCCACTTCTTGCTTATACCAAGGGAAGTAGGATGAAGCACTGTCTGAATAAGTACAGTTGATAACAGCACTGTCTCCCTCCTGGACACTCAGGGTAGAAGGATGCTGCTCCACCTTCTCTCCTTGGCTGACACCTGGGAAAGAAAAAGAAAAACAAGAAGGTTATCAGGTCATTACTCTCTAGAATTTTCTTTTTCTATATGATGTGGAGAAGCTCTAAATAAAGCCAGTCTTCTCCATGGACATCAAAAGAACATCCAGTAGAATCTCTATTATCCCCCAGTCCTCAACTCACAGCTCAGATGCAGCCACAAGAATATGAATAAAGCATAAATCAATGTCTCCATTGTTCTTCCCTTTGGACCATAGACTTGATATCTCTAGCCAGGAGAGCTATTTCTGTTATCAGGTTGCCACTTTCTCTCTCTAACAATTTTAGCAGCTTCTCATATTGTCTACTAAACCAATAAGAAAAAGGTTCCACTTTTACTATAAACCTCTTTCTTCAGAGTTTACTTCAATGAACCCAACACTTTTTCTACACCAGCTGGGGTAGACTGCCACCTTGTGGTCACATCCCTAACTACTGAACTCTCAAGTTAAGAGGTCTTCCCTTTCCCCATGGGTGATTCAGATACATAAATGCAGCAATACGTATAATAAAGAAAGTGTCAGATAAAAAATCAAATGCAAAATAAGTATATAGATATCAAGATTGATATTTGTGCACACTACTGGGTCATTTTTAATAAACTGGAAAGATGTAGATGCTATTGGTGTTTATATAATGATGGGCTCAGTTTACATGTTTGAAATCAAGGAAGCACTGTGATTCATGTTCACAAGGAAAAATATAATACTTTCCTTTTCAACCAAATCTGCCTTTGAGATTTCTCTGTTACAAAGACAAACTTTTTCTTAAAGCAATGTGTAATCCAAGGATTAGAGAAAGAAGACTACTGGGTATTTCATTGCATATTGATGCAATTAATATTAAAATGCATATTTTCTCCAAGTGACTAGTCCAAGCCTGAACTTGCCCATGACTTGCCACTCAAAAAAATGGAAAGTACCACCAATCAAACCATGGTGTCTTCCCTCAGCAAAGATGATAAAAAGTAATGATCAAGTTCAAAAGTAAGGAAGTAGGGAGATAAGTTCTGCAGTTATTAATATTCCACCCTTTAGAAATGTTTAATCCATAGATAGAGTTTATTTACAAAGAGAAATATGAAATGAATGAAGAAATCTTTATATTGCCATGTGAGTTGTGTTCTGCAAAGTCCTGAAAGAAAGAGTAGAGATTCTCAAAAAAATCAGGCTACATATTCAAAATACATGACCACATGTAAGTTTATTCTTCATATGCTTTCATTTTCTGCTCCCAAAACATACTACATGTCCTTAAATTCAATGACTGACATATCTTCCAGGAATTTCCTCTAAATCATGAGCCAATCCTCTTGGCATGGATTTCTGCTGCCTTGACCAATGATTTTTCTCCCACTTTCCACTACAAAGATCTTTCCCCAAAACATTATAAGAATCCTTCAGTTCTATAAATTTTTAGGGTTATCTCCCTCTTCCAAAGACCTTTTCTCATATGCTTTAATTTGATATTTTCTGATTGTTTCTATCCAGGGAAGCCTAACTGCTTGTGTCTGCTATAGGATAGTACAAGTGGGAAACAGACCTCAAGAACTAAACATAATCAATAGTTTCTGCCCAAACAAGATGACCTCATTTCAGAAGTCAAGGCCTCTTTCCTATACTTGTACTCACTCATAACCAAGATCTATAGAAAATAAATCTAATCACTTGGTCACCTCTCACAAGCTTAAAGATTAAAGATAGCTGTGATGAAAACCCTCAACTCAAAATGTATATGTGTATATACAAAATATGTTTTGTATATATTATATATACTATGTGTTCATACATAAAATATTATATATAATATATATTATGTGTTTGTATACTCTCTCTCTCTCTCTCTCTCTCTCTCTATATATATATATATATATATATATATATATATATATATATAGTGTGTGTGTGTGTGTGTGCGTGTGTGTATATATATGTGTGTGTGTATTTCCATTCTAAGATTCTTCTATTTTATCGCTCATTCAACATATGATAGAATTATTAAATCCTTCCTTGGATGAATTTCCTTTTTCTCAGATTTTCTTTTTTTTTACTTTGAGATAGGGTTTCACTAAATTACCTAGAGTTTCAATGAATAATTTACAGTCTTGCTGGATACTTTTTTTTTTTACTTTGAGACAGTCTTGCTAAATTACCTAGAGTATCACTAAATTATTTACAGTCTTGTTAAATTGTTGAGACTGGCATTGAACTTGTGATCCTCCTGCCCCCACCTCCTACAGTCATGTACAACCCTCCCCAACTAGATGCAGACACTTTAGGTCAATGCTTACCCTTTTCAGTTATGGCACAAAGAAAAGGATTTTTCTAGCATCATCACAGACTCTCAGTTGCAGAAGGACAATATTCCCTCCCCTTAGTCTCTGGATTTCACTGACCATTTTTGCTGACAGTGTTTGAGTGATCTCATTATGTTGGTGCCCCTCCTCCAGGACCTGTCCCCCTGGGATCACTCATCTTAGGAAAGGCCTTAGAGTCATCTGGGTGTTGAGGATGGCCCACCACTTGCTTAGTTCAACAGCAGCAGTGTGTGGTGGACTGAGGTGATGGTAGAAAAACTAGTTCAACCTGAGTCTCCTTTAGTCCTTGAAGTGTCAAACATTTTTACAATTTCGAGCTCTCTATTTTGCACGTCAAACTGTTTGAACCAAGGCTTTTCCAGACCCACACTGAAAAACTCATGGAGCCTGGGATCAATGGGGGAGTTTCTCTTTACTCAGCAATCTGGTTCTACAGAAATGGGACAGGAGAAGTGAGAGAATATGCTAAGGAGAAGTGAGAAAATACCATTTCCTTCTAATTCCACCCATTCTATAGCTATTTTATACTAGCACCTTGCACATAGTTTCTGCCTTTGTAAAATGAAGTTCATTGAAAGATTTCTACAGGTTTTTCTGGCTCTGAAACTTTTTTACACTATTTAACAGAGAAACTGTTCATTGAGGACTGGGTGTGTGAGGTGTGGGGTGGTATGAGACCGTGAGTGGAGTGTCCTGCACCATTTTCATGTTCACATGCAACCTACTGTGTCTGAGGTTCCCTTAAACAGTTCTTGGGCCTCTTCAGAAACAGAAATAATCAGGATCCTCAGGATGAGTTCCTCTCTGGGTTTCCATTACTCCTGTAACATAAATAAGGGATGCCAAATCAAGGAAAGACTACATTCATAGTATAATGGAATAAGTTGGGACTTTACTAAGTAAAGAACTATTATAGTTAGTGATCTGAGGGTGATTCCATAACTGAGCCATGGGTGAACAGAATGCTCCTTTCTAAAGATCTCTTATACTTACCTCTGTCATGTGTTATTCCTGTAGGAAGAACACACAAACAAACCTGAGAAAAAAACACTTCCTGAAACATCCCAATCTCTTTCTGACTTCAAAGTGCCCTTCTTCCAAGTATAGCTTGGGGCACCAAGATTCCCAACCAGGGCTGGTTATAAATTTGTGGGACCCAATGCAAAATGAAATTTTGGAGCCCATTGTTCAAAAAGCATGGTAATTGCGAGTAAAATAATACAAAGTCTGTTTTACTAAATATTATATTATTTATAAACACAATAGGGTTTGCAATGATACACAAGTAGCAATGCCAACTCACAAAGTACAAAAACACTTTGTATCATAAGCTTATATAAACAATAACTGATATTACTTTGTAAATATTATATCTTGACCGATAGGATATTTCTGGCTTGTTCTGCAATTTGATTTGTAGGGCAGCATTTTAATGTTTCTGCTAACATTTTCTGTAATTTGTAGAAACTGAAAGAAACTTGATGATTTGTGTATAATAAATAATGCTTGCCTATGCATCCCATCACTGTTCCTTCAATTCCAGTGAAATCAATATTGAGGTTATCTTCTGTGTTAATAATTGGTTCATTCAAAATTTCACATGAAAACATTATTCTTTATCAAGTAGCTATCATTACATTCAATTTCTGTTTCTAAGCCCATAGATATTCATTTCTAATGCAGCCTCAATTTTCAAAATTAGAGTTTCTAATTTTTTCCAAGGATTTTAACAATTCTCCTAAATGTTTTATTGCAGTTTTCATTTTTATGTTTTCATTTTGTACAAATTTACTAAAAACRTATAAGGCCACACACTTTGAGGACCTGCAGAGCACCAGAAATCCTCTAGTGGGCACCTGCACTTGGAATGTGTGGAACAACTGTGCCCTTGAACATGAACTTCTATGTGTTCCTGTCCCAAAGCCCCATGAATCTCCTCTGCTCATGCACATGCTCCATCCTCTTAATAGACTTCAGTTATAAAACACACCTTCAAAGACAAAATTATTAAGAACTGCAAGACAGCAATAATAGAACATTAAATCAAGCATCTGCCCCTGTCTGAGTGGCAGGCCCTGTGAAACCTTACAGGTCACATGCCCAGAAAGCTCATCCTGCTTCCAGCATCACTGGAATTGCCTWAATGTCTTTGCCTTCATCTCAGGGTCCTACTGCTTCCTATTCGATCCTTTACTTTACCATAAAATGTGGCTCAAGCGGTAGTGCACTCGCCTGGCATACGTGMGGCCCGGGTTCAATCCTCAGCACCACATACCAACAAAGATGTTGTGTCCGCCGAGAACTAAAAAATAAATATTAAAAAAAAATTCTATCTCTTCTCTCTCACTCTCTCTTTAAAAAAAAAGACAGCGAGGTGGAAATTAGATTCACATTGTAATTGATCCACATGCAGGTTTAAACTTTGTGTTTAGTTATGAGAAGTCTTGGCTGTGACTACGGCAGATGAAAGTTGCTTTGGTAGTAGTGTTGGAAGATTTTTCCTCCCTTTCCCAGACCCTAAATGAGGTCAGAAAATCATGAGCAACAGATTCATTCAAAAATACAAGGAAGAGCAGTGGATTTTCATATAACAAAATGAAAAGTTTCAGCAGATTTCCCTTAAAGGATGCTATTTAGAAATAATTAAAAGAATATTTTCATCAGTGGTGTATGTGAACACATTTTAAAATTTTGTCAATAGATATGATCTTCATTTTTGAGTCTTCTACGCTAGCTAGCTCAGAGCACAAGCTCTTTTGTCAGATTTCTGAGGGGGAATCCCACCCCAACTTTACAAGTTAGGAATTCAGGGAAATCACTACTGCTCTTTCCTGGTTTGTGTGCAAAGTAAACAAATATTGTCAGGACTAGAGTCATAT